TGCACACCAAAGGGTTACAGGTCCCATCCCCCCTGGAGGCGTACAGGAGGCAACCAATAGATGTGTCTCTCTCACATAGATGTTTCTCTCTCTCTCTCCCCCCTCCCTAAAAATCAATGGAAAAAACACTTAGGTAAGGATTAAAAAAAAAATATATATATATATATACACACACACACACACATGTGTGTGTGTGTGTGTATGCTTATTCTTCCAGGAATTAGTGACAGTCAAAGATGAGGAAATGGACCTGATCCATGTGGAGGAGGAACAGCTGAATTCTGCCCAAAGGTACATGGGCATGGATATGAAGGTAGAGAATTGTGAGAGCCTGGTATTTTGGGGTAAGGAAGTTATTTTGTAATGCAAACTGCTTACTGGAATAAAGGTTTTCTATAACTAATGGCATCTAAAATGCCATAGTTTTGCTCTGGCCAGTGTGACTCAGTTGATTGAGTGCCATCCCATGCACCAAAAGGTCGCTAGTTCAATTCTTGGTTAGGGCACATGCCTGAGTTGCAGGCTAGATCCCCCGTAGGGGGCATGTAAGAGGCAACAGATTGATGTTTCTCTCTCACATCGATGTTTCTCTCTCTCTAAAATCACTAAAAACATATTTAAAAAATAAAATGCCATAGTTTTGCTTAAGATTCAGAGAGCTCTGATTCCCTAGGGCATCCCTGACCACTTTGGGTTCAGAATTGGTCTGTTTGTCTCTTTTGGCAAGTAAAAGTTCACCATATGTGGAACTGAAAAAGGATAGCTTCATTATATTGATATTAATACTTAAAAGCGATAGTAATCAAAACAGTGTAGTATTGCTGAAAGAATAGATGTAAATTAATGGAACACTACAGATAGTCCAGAAATAGATCCATACATATATGGTCAATTAATTTCTGAGAAAGGTGCAAAAGCAACTCAATGTTAAAAGGAGAATCTTTTCAATAAATGGTGCTGGAACAGTTGGACATCCCTATGCAAGAAAAATGAACTTCAATTCATACTTCCCATCATTTACAGTAACTCAAAATGGATACCAGAGCTAAGTATATAACCTAAAACTACAAAACATTAAGGTAGTCTTTGTGACCTTTTATAAGGCAAAATTTTATTAGATATGGCACCAAAAGCTCCATCCAGTAAAGCCATCTAGGTCTTGAGTTTATTTTATTGGAAGGTTTTAACCTTGAATCTAGGTCCCTTATTAGATAGAAGACCATTAAAATTATCTATTTCTTCTTGAGTGAACTCTGGTGTACTTTCCTGTCTTTCATTCCTGATGTTGGTAATCTGTATCTTCTCTGTTCATTTTGTTGTTCTTCCTACGGGTTTAACAATTGTATTGATCTTTTAGAGGAACCAGCTTTTGATTTTATTGAGTCTATGCTTAGTTTTATGTGTTCAATTTTATTCATTGATGCTCTTATCATTGTTATTTTTCCCCTTTTCTAACTTTGTATCTAATTTCCTCTCCTTTTATCAGTTTCTTAAGCTAGAAGCTTGATTGTTGGTATAAAATCTTTCTTCTCTTCTAATATGAACACTTAATACTATAAATTTCCTTCTAAGTACTACTTTAGCTGCATTCCACGACGTTGATATGAGGTGTTTTCATTTCTGTTCAGTTCAAGATAATTTCAGTTTTCAATCTTTACATCCTTTTTGACTCATGAATTATTTCCAAATTTTAGGTGATTTTCTTTTTTTAAATATGTCTGTATTGATTTCAGAGAGGGAAAGAGATAGAAACATCAATGATTACAGTCATTGATTGGCAGCCTCCTGCACACCGCCTACTGGGGATAGAGCCCTCAACCCAGGCATGTTCCCTGATCAGGAATTGAACCGTGATCTCCTGGATCATAGGTTGATGCTCAACCACTGAGCAATGACAGCCGGGCTCTATGACTTACTTTAAATTTTTCTCTTTATCTTGGTTTTCAAAAGTTTGAATATGATGTGTTCGTGTGTGTGTGTGTGAGATCCTACTTGGGGTTCTCTGAGCTTCCTTGGTCCTTTGCTTTGATGTCTTTCATCAGTATTGCCATATTATCAGCCATTAACTCATCAAATATTATTTCTTCCTATTTTCTCTGTCTCTTCTTCCAGGATTCTAACTACATGTATGTTAGGACGTTTGATACTGTCCCACAGTTCTTAGCTACTCTTTTCTGGTCTGTTACTTTGTTTTTCACTCTTTTTTTTCTCTTACTATTCTAGCTTGGGTAATTTCTATTAACCTATTTGCAAGTTTACTCATTCTTTTCTTACCTTTGTTAACTCTACTGATATACCCATCNTGATCCCCAGTAGGGGGCGTGCAGGAGGCAGCCAATCAATGTTTCTCTCTTATCAATGTTTCTCCCTTCCTCTCTCTCAAATCTATAAAAACATATTTTTTACAAAGTATAGCTTTGGAGTCCGACTGCCTCATATAGTTATTATTACAAGAGGTAGTTCAAAGGACTTAGCATATAGAAAATAAGTTATAAATCTTCGCTATTATTATTTTCTCTAACACAGACTAATAGTTAGACTTTTTAAAATATTCCATTGCCCAGCCAGGCGTGGCTCAGCAGCTGAGTGTAGACCTAGGATCCAGGCGATCAGGGATCGATTCCCGGTCAGTGCACATACCCGGGTTGCAGGCTCAATCAATGACTTTCTCATCATTGATGTTTCTATCTCTCTCTCCCTCTCCTTTCCTCTCTCTGAAATCAATAAAGATATATTTTTTAAAAATTAAAAATAATTAAAACTAAAAATATTCCATTAAAATGGTTAAAATAAATGTTTAACCTTCAGATTAAAAAACCCTCTTCTTCTAGATTGTCTTCTGTCCTTAAGGATTACCAAATCCTATAAAAATATGCTTGTTCTGCCTGGTTGTTGTGGCTCAGTGGTTGAGCGTCAACCCAAGAAACTGGAGGTCATGGTTCAGTTCCCAGTCAGGGCACATGCCTGGTTTTGGGCTTGATCCTCAGTAGGGANATTATGATATTTTTCATGCTTAACATTTCAATTATACTTTCTCTTATAGTTTCCATCTCTCTGCTAAAATTCCATAACTCTTAATGCATGTTGTCTATCTTTTCCACTTGAATCTTTTACATATTAATCATAGTTATTTTAAATTCCCTTATAGCTCTACTATCTGGGTAATTATTGAGTTTGGTTCTGTTGGTTCTGTCTGATTACTCTGACCATGGTTTTATTCAATCAGTTTTGAATGGAGCTGGGGATGGGTGCAGGGAGAGAGAATGCAAGCAGATGTGTTATGAGGCTGTTGCATTAGTTTAGGTCAGAGATGATAGTGGCTGAATTGGTGTGGTAATAGTGGAGAGGGAGAATACAAAATGGCTATGAGAGAGATTTGAGAAGAAAATCCCTAGAACTTGATAATTTATTTGTGGTGGTTAGTGGGGTAGAAGGAAGAGTTCAATATGATTCTCAAGTTCCTGACTTTCAACTAGAAAAACTTTTGGGGTTTTGTGAGGATTAGATGTATTCATATATTTTACCTTTTTAGAATAGTAGGTTACACATAATTAACACTATATAAATGTCTAATATTTTAATTCATATGTATTTTACACTTTATCGTGATAGTCTCAACTTCTGAAAATTATGGCAGTGTTACAAATATATTTTATTCAAATATTGGTTATGTTTCTATAATGGGATAAATGGCCTTAAGAAAGCTTATGGCCCTCCAGACTTACCTCATTGCTTGTATTATATATGTTCAATTCACTTCACACAATATATAGTCAATATGTGCTTATCCTCCTCCTTGGTTAGTCTGTTCAATTTTCCATTCTCTTAGGTAGAGCATCCTCATTGTCTTTCCTTTTACTGTGCCTTATTAGTCATTCTGTCATCTTTGTTATTCCCTGAAATTTTATCTGCCATCACTAGGAGTCACTTTCTGAAAACATTCAAATAAACATTTTAATAGGTATTATTTTTTATCTTTTTTACCCTCCTGTCAACTCAATAGTTTTCTTACTTTCAACACAGAGAACATAAACATTTGCGATTTTTATTTATTTCAGATTCTGAATCTATACATGAAACTAAAGAGTCCCTTTCAAAGCAGGAAGTTTATGAAGAACTATCATCTGAAAGGGAACTGTTAATAAAAAGACTTAAGAAGGATGATTCCTGGCACTCCAGACTTATAGAAGCTAGGGAATGTGAAGACACATTAGAAAGGAAGCAAGAAAATAGAAAGATTTAAGGCAAATCATAATTAAACACAAGAAAAACCCCATGGAGGAGTGTAATGAAATTAGAGAAAGTTCAAACTCAATTAAACATCAGAAATTTTACTCATTGAAAAAGCCTTGGAAGTGCAATGAATGTGGGAATTCCTTCAGTTACTATTCAGCCTTTATCCTACATCAAAGAATTCATACTGGAGAGAAGCCCTATATACGTAATGAATGTGGAAAGGCCTTCAGTTGGAGCTCATCACTTATCCAGCACCAGAGAATTCACACTGGAGAGAAACCTTGAGTGTAACAAATGTGGGAAAGCTTTTAGTCATCGTTCAGCCTTTATTCAACATCATATCATTCATACTGGAGAAAAGCCCTATGAATGCAATGAATGTGGGAAGGCATTCAACCAAAGCACATACCTTATTCAACATCATAGAATACATACTGGAGAGAAACCCTATAAATGCAAGGAATGTGGGAAAGCTTTTAATGACACCTCACCCCTTATTAAACATCAAAGGGTTCATACTGGAGAAAAGCCCTATGGATGTAGAGTATGGGATAGCCTTGAGTGACAGGTCAGGCCTAACTCAACATCAGAAAACTCAGACAGGGGAAAAACCATATGAATGTAGTGAGTGTGGGAAAGCTTTCAGTTACTGCTCAGCTCTTATTCAGCACCAAGGAACCCATACTGGGGAGAAACCTTACAAATGCAATGAATGTGGGAAAACCTTCAGTGACTGTCTCAGCTCTTGTAAGACATCAGAGAATTCATACAGGAGAGAAACCTTACAAATGTAAAGAATGTGAGAAAGCTTTCAATCAGAGCTCATCTCTTACAAAGGATCTGAGAACTCATACTGGAGAGACACCATATAAATGCAATGATTGTGACAAAGCCTTCAGCCGGAGTTCATCTCTTACTCAACACCAGAAAATTCATACAGGAAAAAAATTCTACAAATGTGAGAAAACTTTCACTGGGTGTTCAGCCTTTCATCAACATGAAGAAGTTCAGAATGAATAGAATGCAGTAAATTCCTGAAATAATTATGTATTCTCACCTGATTGTAATGATAAGCAAAGTTGGAGGACTTACACTACCTGATAACAAGAATTACTATAAAGTTAAAATAATTAAGATAGTGTATATTAGTGTAGGCTAGATAAATAGATCAATGAAACAGAAGTGAGTCCTGAAATATACCCATACACGTGTATGTTCAATTTAGTTTCAAAAGAGGTGTCAAAGCCATTCAACAAAAGGTGCTTGAACAACTGGATATCCATATGGAGGGAAAAACACCTTGACCTCTATTTCATTTTATATGCAAGAAATAATTAGAGATAGAGACCTAAAAGTAAGAACTAAACTATAAAACGGAAGAAAGCATAGGGGATTGTTATCGTGACCTGGTGATAGACAAAGGTTTCTTAGGACAGAGAAGCAATAACCATTAAAAAAAAAAAAGATTAACTAACCCTACTGAAAATTTAAAACTTTTGCTTTTCTTTTTATAAACCATTAAGAAAATAAATGACTAGGCAACCTACAGACCTGGAGAAAATATTTATAAATTATACATCTGACAAAGACTTGTTCTGAAATATAAAAAGAACCCCTGCAACTCAACCACAGAAAGGCAAACAGCCCAACACATAAAATGGGCAAGAGAGTTCAGCTTCACAAAAGAAAATATACAAATTTTAAGAAGTCCATGAAGAAGTGTTCAACAGCATTAGTCATCAAGGCGATGCCAATTAAAACCACAGTGAGATACTACTACATACACATCTCAACAGTTAAAAAAAAGTATAATTAAAAATACAAATGTTGGTAAGGTTGAGGAAAAACTGGTAGTCTCACATATTGCTGGAGAGGATATAAAATGGTATGACATTTTGAAAAACAGTTTCATCATTTTTAAAGTAAAGTTAAATGCATGCCCTTTGACCCAGCAATTTCACTCCTAAGTATTTACAATAGAAATGAAAACATATGCCACAACAAAGAATTGTTCTTAATTCATAATAGCAAAAACACGGAAATAACACAAATATTCATCAAGAAAAGAAGGGAAAATGAAACCATTATATATTCATGCAACATATACTACTTAACATTTAAAAGGAATGAACTACTGATACACATAACAGCATAGATGTATCTCATAGACATTATGCTGAGCAAAAGAAGCCAGATACAAAAAAATGTGTACTCTATGATTTTATTTATATGAAGTTCTAGGGGAGACAAAACTAATTGTGATAGTAATAATGTCCCGCTTACCCCAAAGGTGCCCACATCCTAATCTCTGGAACCTGTGAATATGTTATGTTACCTGGAAGAAGAGACTGCAGGTGCAACTAAGGTTAGTGACTTTTAAATGGCAAGATTATCTTGGATTATCTAGGTAATCTAATCATAAATCTAATCACATGGGTCCTTAAAAGCAGAGACCCTTCTCTGGGTGGAGGCATAAAGGATACAACAAAAACAAGAGAGAAATTCAGAGCACAAGAATGATTCAGTACACCACTGGTGAACTTGAAGATGGAGGGGTCCAAGGACCTCAGCCTACAGGAGCTTCCGATAACTTGAATGATCAGGAAGCTCTGGGGGAGAGCTTCCAGCAAAGAGTCCAGGCCTGTGGACACCTTGATTTCAGCTTTGAGGCCAGAAAAGTAACTGAGTCCACCTAGACTTCTGACCTATAGAACTGTGAGAGAAGAAATTTGTTTTTAAACTGTTAAATTTGTGATGGCATTAATAGAAAACTAATACACAAATCTAATGTGAAAAAAATTAGAACTGTGATTGCCTCCGTTAGTAGGGATTGACTAGGAAGGGACACTAAAGAGTTTTCTGGCCCTAGCTGGTTTGGCTCAATGCTTAGAGCGTTGGCCCGCAGACTGAAGGGTCACTGGTTCGATTCTGGCCAAGGGCATGTACCTCTGTTGCAGGCTTGATCCCCTGGTCAAGACGCATGCAGGAGGCAATCAATCAATGTTTCCTTCTCTTCCTCTCTCTCTCGCCCTCTTCCTTCCTCCCCCACTCCATCTCTCCTTCCCCCTTCCACTCTCTCTGAAAAGCAAAGAAAAAGTATCCTCAGGTGAGGATTTTAAAAAGAACAAAATGTTTTCTGGAGCAAGGAAAATGCCCTATACCTTGATATCAGTGAGAGTTACATGGGCATACCCTGTTGTCAAATGTCATCAAATTGTGCAATTAGTGTATGTAAATGTTACCTCACAAAAAACAACTATAAACAGTCAACTATATTTAATAGGTTGGTTTATTGTGGTATGGATTGGCAATTCTGAAACCCATATGTTCATTAGATACATTAGTTAGGGTATGGTCAGAGAAGGAGAACCACTAAGGAATTTATAGCTGGGAGCTGGATAAGCAGTCTGTGAATCTGTTGACATAATATCTGGTGCTGTGGCTGAAGTCAGCTGGGCTGGCGGTGGAAAGAGAAGATGAATGTGGAGTGTAGAGGAAGAAAGGGAAACCCATAGCTGCCTTTCAGCAGAACCCATGTTGGTCTCTACCTGTAAGCCTCCAACATTAATGATATAGGTAATCTGTAAAAGAGAGATCCAACTTCATTACAGAGCTTTACATGAACCTGATACCTGATACAGGATTCAGAGAAGCTGAAGTAGGAGATTCCACAGGAACTGGAGGAACTGGAATTTCAGCTCTTGCCTCAAAGAGATCTGGTGATAACTGGAGAAGCTCCAGACTGGCCAACAACTGCTGTCCTAGGCCAACAACCTGAGTCTGCAGACATGCCCATGAACTGCAACAGCACCTGACCTAAGCTTAAACATGCTTGATGTTTGACTCCATCTCCCATATCTCATGCAAATTTTTCTTGTGGCCAGTCCTAAATGAAAACTGCAGGTTAAGCAATTCTGAGAAATGTAGTTATATTTTAGCTGAATTTACACTCTACAAAAACCACAGGATTCCACCAAAAAGTGCCTCCATGCTGCCCCCTTATAGTAAAAAACCTGCCCCCACTCTTAACCCCTGGAAATTGTCAATCAGTTCCCCATGTCTAGAGTCTTACCTTTAGCAGAATGTCATATAAACGGAATAGTACAGCATACAGGATTTTTAGTCTGGCTTCTTTCATTGAGCATAATGTATTTAAGATTCATCCATGTAGCTGCGTGCATCAACGCTTTGTTCCTTTTCACTGGTAGGTGGTATTCCTTTATTTGGATATATCACAGTTAATTCATTCGCTAGTTGAAGTATATTTGAGCTGTTTTTAGTTTTGGACAATTAATAAAGCTGCTATAAACATTAGCATACAAGACTTTGTGTAAAACACAAGATCTCATTTTTGGGGAATTACCTTGGAGTGGGATTGCTGGATCATAATGGAAATAGATGTTTAACTTTAAAGGAAACTTGAAATGTTTTACAAAGTGGTTGTACCATTTTTTATTCTCACCAGCAGTGTATAAGAATTTCAGTTGCTCCACATACTCCTCAGCATTTGGTGTTGTCAAGGTTTTGATTTCATTTTTAAAAAATTATACACACTGGTATGTAGTGGTATCTAATTATGGTTTTGCTTTACATTTCCATAATGAATAATGAAGTTGACCATCTTTTCATGTGCTTAGGAATAAAACAAGGTGAATAAAAATTTCTCAGAAAGCATACCTTCTCAAGTCCCATGTCAATTTTGTGTTCCTTTGCCTTCAAACAATGATTTTATATGTTTTGTTGTTATAGATAACTGCTGAAAAATAGTCCCTCTGTTCTCCCCATTTCTGAAGACGATTCGTTCACTGCTCCCTCCCCCACCTTCATTCTGATTTTGACCCTGCAATTTGCTTTGGCCAATGATCTGTTAACATAACACAAGTATATAGTCAAAAAGTGCTTGCATGTTTGGGATTTATACTCTTGTGCTTCTGCCATGACCATGAAAAGAACTTGCCTAGACTAACCTGTTCTTTCCAGTAAGAGGATGAAAAACAAGTGAAGCTAAGCCACTCCAGCTTAGCCCAAATTAAGTCTGATGACTTCCAGCCAACCTCCAAACATGTAAGCAAGCCCACTCAAGATTAGCAGAATTCCTCAGGCAAGACCAGCCTAGAGAAGCCGGTCTTCAAGCCACCCACGAGCATGAGAATAATAAATTTTTACTGTTGTATACTAGGAAACTTTTGTGGTTGTTTACTAACTAGTATTGTACCAAAAGGTCATTGATATATTTGTCCAATTTTTAAGTTGTTTTGATGGAAGGGTTATAAATTTTCTTGTTTTTTCCACTCTTTTGTGATTACTTTTTCATGTTTTACAGGTTCTCATAATGCTGTGGAATGGTCTGGAGAATGCATTTGCCCCAACCCTATGGAGTCTACAAATTGTAAGCCATTAAAAAAAAAAAAATGTCTTTACTGATTTCAGAAAGAAGAAGAGGGAGAGAGTGATAGAAATATCAATGATGAGTCACTGATCAGCTGCCTCCTGCATGCCCCCTACTGGGGATTGAGCCCACAACCCGGGCACATGCCCTGACCAAGAATCGAACCAAAATCTCCTGGATCATAGGTCGATGCTCAACTGATGAGCCATGCAGTTCAGGCTGTAAGCCATTTTTACATTTGATTGTTTTCTCAAGGTTTGGAATACCAATATTGTTCATTTGGGTACAGACATTCAAAGCACAAGCTATGGGTTCAGACATCACTCCTGTGAGTTCTTTTCTATACATGTCCTAAGATGGGCTGCTCATCTGACTGTAACTCTAGGCTGATAAAAAGATTTTACCAATACATTAATTTCTTGGCTTCCTATTTCTCATGAAGTCCAGTTCCAAATTTATGCAGGGCATAGGGGCTATAGCTTTAACCTCTCACTCCTATGTAGGTATTAAAACAAGTATAGTAGGCTGCGTGTTAGACTTAGAAAATACCAACCTTTGAGTGTGTATTCAGTGTTGATTTTTTTATGTGCTCTGCTGCTTTAGTTCTTCCTCACCGTAATCATTATCTTGGCTTGGAAAGAGATAATATAGACTGTAAAAGAAAGTAATTCTTCACTTTTTTTACTTAGACTCCAAACCGTGTGTCAAGTGTCCAGAAGATCATTATCCAAACAAGGCAAGAAATCACTGCTTCCTGAAAGCAGAAATATTCCTGTCATTTGAAGAATCTCTGGAAATGTCTCTGGCCTGTGTCAGAATTTCCTTTTCCATCCTCACAGTTCTAGTTCTCATATTCTTTGTAAAACATTGAGACTCTTCTATAATCAAAGCCAATGATAGAGCTCTCAGCTATACCCTCCTCATCTCTCTCATCTTCTGCTTCTTTTGTTCTTTGCTTTTTATTGGTCAGCACAGAGTAGCCATTTGCCTCCTTCAACATACAAGTTTTGCAATCATATTTCCTGTGGCTATTTCCTCTATTTTGGCCCAAACCATCACTGTAGTCCTGGCATTCAGAGCCAAGACTCCTAAGAGTAGAACGATGAATAATATGGGACGCACAACCTTTAAAACCATTCTTCTTGTCTGCTTGCTGATCCAAGCAACAATCTGTGGGATTTGGTTAAGGACTTCTCCCCCATTTCTAAACAAGGACTCACACTCTGAGCGAGGTTTCATTGTCAGTGAATGTAACATGGGCTCCATCACTGCTTATTTCTGTGTCCTGGGCTCCCTGGTGCTTATGCATTTCACTTGGCATTTTGGGGCAGGAGACTACCTTATACTTTCGATGAAGCCAAGATCATTACATTCAGCATGCTGGTGTTCTGCGGTGTCTGGATCTCTTTTCTTCCCACTTCCTGCAGCACTAAGGGGAAGGCCATGGTGGCTGTGGAGATCTCCGTTTTAGCCTCAAGTGCTGCATTATACATCTTCATATTTATTCCCAAGGACATTTCATTCTGCCAAGGCCTGAAAAGAGTGTTCAGAGATATTTAAAGAAGAGATGACTCTGGTATTTAAAAACTAGAGAATTTTTTAAAAATTGTCTCAGCTATTAGATGACATTAAGAAAAGACAGGTGAGAAATATCTCATAAAGGTAGTCTTCCAACATAAAGCCCATTAAGTTCTGAATAATAGTGAAAATATTTACTTATCTATGTCGCAGGCACCACCCAGTCAGAACAGATTCTGCTTAATCAGAATAGATGGTGGCAGGAACACTGTAGTGGTGCATACCAGTTGAAAAGCAGCTACTTTTACTAAATTTATGATAGAAAAGATATTTGCAGAGGGCTAAGTGTGAGCAGACAATTTTTGATGTGACATGGGTTGAAAAGTAAGCTATTCATTGGGTAGCAGCAGAAGGCCATAATGCAATACTATTGAAAAACTAGAGCTTTTCTTCCAGAGCTCTATCCCTGTTCCTGGTGCTCACCTTCTGTGAGAATAAAAAGAATACAATCATGTGGAAGTTGACACATCTTAAAAAATTGTACAATTCCCAGAGGATAGAGAGATCGAGGAAGAAGGATGAATGGCACATCGTAAAAGGTCAGTATATCTTTCCTGATGTCATTCAATTTAACAGAATGTGTCATGATTAATACTCCAAAATTTAGAACAATCAGAAGAGCCAAATATGCCCTAGCCAGGATATTTTTTCCCATTGATTTTTAAAGAGAGTGGAAGAGAGGGAGAAGGAGTGAAAAACATCACATCGATAGGTGGCCAGGGAGGAGTACTCGCCAGGAATCAAAGCTGGGGCCCTGCAGTCTGTGGGCCAATGCTCTAACCACCGACCCAGGCCAGTGAAGGTCTGTTTCCAAACTTAGCAGGTACCTTGGCATTAGACCATGCAGATAGACAGAAACAATCAAATCTTTAGCTTTTTCTTAGATTAACTGTGTCCCAACCCATCCATTCCTGTCTTAGAGGTTATCCCATTCCTTCTCAAGACTAATTGGTATTCCTATGCTTCTGATCTCATCAGGAATCTTGAAAGAATCTGAGTCACTAATATATTTCTATATTTTAAAAAATATATTACTTTTCAACTCCATTAATATAAAGATTTTGAATTTAGATGAAATGAATAATTTTCTATACAAATATAATATACCAAAAGTGGCCCCAGTAAAGAATGTCTAAACAAAGCAATTTCCTTAGAGAAGAAATAAAGGAATGCTGGGGAAAAAAGACTCAAGTGATTTTAATGCTGAATTCTAACACTTGTAAAGATTTAGTCATCCTAATACTTCTTAATCTTTACAGGGAATGGAGGAAAAAGAAAGTTCCATATTTTAAGTAAGTATAAAATTGATACTAAAGTTTAATAGAACTACACATCATTTTAACTTATGAGCATCAGTGTAAAAATACTAAAAAATATATTAGCCAACAGAATCCAGTATCACATTTAAAAATACATCATGAGCTTTAGCCAGTTTGGCTCAGTGGCTGGAGCATTGGCCATGGACTGAAGGGTCCGGGGTTCAATTCTGGCCAAGGGCACGTACCCGGGTTGTAGGCTCCATCCCTGGCCCTGGTTGGGATGTGTCAGGGTGCCTGTGGGAGGCAACTAATGGATGTGTCTCTCTCTCCTCTTCCTCTCTTTCTCTTCCCCCCTCCTCCCTAGAAGTCATTGTCCAATACAATTAGACAGGAAAAGGCAACTAGAAACCTACAATTCTAAGAGGAAAAATAAAACTGGATCTATTATGTACCTAGAAAACCCAAGAGAATTTATAAATAACTACAAACCATAAGATCCAGTAATGTGGCAAGTTATTAAACTAACATACAAAAATCAATAACCTTCCTATATTCAAAATTCTTGTAAAATTTATAAATGAGACTTCTGGAGTCCATTTTGAATGAGGTTTCCCCTTTTTACATTTTCACGGTTGTTGTTTAAATAACAGCATTCATGTATTAGAAAAGTAAGTAACTCCAAATAATCTAATTTCAGATAAACACCATTTTTATATTTTTATGTTCAAGTAATAACACATACGTATAATCAACAAATTATGGTTTTTTTGGTCGGGTTTTTCCAGGGTTGGCTAAAAGGTTAGTCACTCTACATTACACTCACAAGAAGAGGTTTTAAAAACACCCAGTTGCTGGAGGGCCCATCCCTAGACATTATGATGCAGGTGGTGTGGAAGGAGTAGGTCTTAGAGAATTTTTAAAGCGCCCCAAGCGATTCTTGCTACAGTTTCAGGGCCGCCGCGGGGCGGGGTCTGGAAGTCTTGTCGATTGGCGCAGCCAGATGCGCCCGGCGCTGGTGGCTTCAGGCAGCTGTACAATCATCTCAACCATAGAGTTGCGAAGCCTCCGCGGTTTCTAGAAGGTACGCAGAAGAGGATGCTCTACCCCGCACGCCCGAGTGGGCGAGGGAGAAGCACGGGAATCTTCCGCTTTAGCACCCTTAGTGGGGGATTAATGGAGGCGCAGACCAGGTCCCGGGGCGGGCCCAGATCCTGGAGAGGGGAGCCCAGCCCACGAGGTCGCTGCCCGTGGACACACAGGCCTGCCTGGGGCAGGCGCCGAGCAGGTTTGGGGAGAAAAAAGCCCGTGTGATGGGAGCGGTGGGTGCCGTGGGGAAGTCCCGGTGGCTCCGCCACGGAAGGTGTCAAGCTCGGGAGTCCCCCGCGCGCCTTCCGGCCTTCCGGGGAAGTCGCAGGGCATTTACCTTCGTCTTCCTGAAGACGGCAGCGTTTGAATATGTTCCGCTCTGTCACTTGTTTAGCATTAAGGAGGAACAGAGTCTGGCGATCGATTGCCTGGTTGATACTGTTGTTTAGTTTGGTTACTTATAGGGGCAAACGAGATGTTAAAAGTTCAGGGGTTCACATTATTGTGAAGTGGCTCTTTAGGTTCTGAGTGCCAGATGTTCAGCGTTCACAGTAGTGAGAAGGTCGAAGTCCCTTCCCCAACCTTGGAGCAGCATCAGGACGTGTGTTGGAGCGCCTCCCTGCTTAAGAGGCAGAGGGTCTTCTTACACGATGTTTTTAGGGAGCGTGAACGGTGTGTGAGGGACTTTCTTTAAAATGCACTCACACAAAAAGCAAGGTTCACCGGTAGCCAGAAAAGCACAAGAAAGAAATGAAAATCACGCGTATTCCATCATGTGTGTACTCCCTGAGAGTAACAATATTGAACTTATAATGTTAAAGAAAAGCTAAAATGGAGGCCACAGTTTGAGTATAACCCTAGGCCAACCACCCGTAGCTGGGACCCCAAGCTTAAACTGTACTAATTTCCCCCAAAATGCTGACTCTGTCCTTAAATGAAAGTTAAGCTTTCTTCATGCTGGGGTGACCTTGTATCTTCTTAGTCAATCAGCTACAAAGAAGTAAACTTGTACATTACTACTACTCTAAAAGGAATATAAGTTTCTAGTAACCAATCACAGTAGGAAACAAGGTACTTATTCATTCATGTCTATGGGGGAGAAAAAAAATTTTCTCTCCCCTTTCTGAGTTCTTAGCTGAAACCCCTGCAATAAGAGATTAAGACAGGTTTATTAACGTGTACCTCATGAATATACAGGAGATACCCAGGGAAAAATGAGTAACTCCTGGATTGGCTTAGAATTCAGTTCTTTCCCATCTGAATAGGGAAAAGAGATGGAGAATGTAGGCCTCTTAGGAGAGTAAAGTGTTCTTAGGAAAGATGAACGGGCTCTTAGAAAAACAGATGGGAGGTCTAATAGTTTGTGTCTGAGTGTGGTATTGACTTCCAGTCTCATCTCCTGTGATAAGAATCAGTCTTCTCTGGTTGATGAAACTGCCTGGGATTGATTTGTGACAGCTGAGTTCCTTTTGGAGGATCTGTCCTTAGGCAGATAAAGGGGGTTCATAGAAAGCTTCTCTCTGCATTTGCTGTTTTTCAAGTTCCTGCAACTGAAAATAATCAGTATTCCAAAGAAGCATATTTTGGGGTGGTGTATTCTGCTAGCCCACACATGCTTTGTAAGCTGAGCAGTAACTACCGAGAGCCCAGTTTCTTAACACTTTGAGTTTTAAAGTCTCCTTGTTTGCAGTTTGTTTCTTGCTCAATAAAATATCCATATCAAGTAAAGCTGAATTTCTTTTTGACATTAATTGCCTCTTTGTGTATAATATGTTGCCTGAAATCTGATAACTGCCCTAAAATCATTTTTACATTCTCTGAGCTGATTCTGTATGATGTAGAAATAAACAGAGGCCACTCAAATGAGAACAAGCAAGGGCTCTTTATTCAGAGTGTGCTATATCAAGGGAGTCAGCCACCATCACTTGTTTTTGGCAGAGACTCACAGGTAGGGAGGGGAAAGCTTTATAGTGGAAAAAGGGAAAGCTGAAAAAGGTTGTCAGCTTGAGAACCCTGGAGCAGATTAAATGAATAGAAGTGGGACATCCTATGTGATTGGGCAGCGAGAAGCATGTTTGGCTTTCTCTGTTGATCCTTCTCTGTTGAAGAAGGAGCATAAATATTAGGGATAAGGTGGCAATTATTGACCAAGTTCTGATTTGGGGCCTAATGCTCCATTGGTTGGGGTTTGAGTTCTGGGCTGATTTCTGCAGGTTGCAGATCAGAGTGCTATTTTTATAATGAGGTACTACAGAACATGTTCTGGGGAAAAGGGGAGGGCAGGGCCACGGGTTCTTTAGGATATAGCTTTGAAAATGGATCTAGCTTCAGAAATTACTAAAAAGACTATTCTAGTGTCTCCTTTCATTTTATCAGATATTCCAACACCAAACACAGTGGCTTTGTATTAGTTGAGGTTTTTGGTTCTGTTGAAATTGCTTGTCCCAGAGTTGCCTAGTGAGAGAGGTTCAAATTCGGACTGGCCTCTCTCAGTATCTTTTTTTCTCCTTCAGCTTAGCCTGGTGGCCAGGATCCCGCCCCATCTTAGAAACCAGGCTATGGAAGCTGTGTTCCTGACAGCTCCGAAGGTAAGCTGGGTTCTCCTCCGCTTCCTCAGTATAGTCCCTGTGGCTGGGTGATGGCTTTAATGTGACTTTAACATCTTTGTTCAAGTTGAGCGATCTTTATCAATTTGGGGATTTTTCCTTCTTGGAAGGTGATGTAAAGACCTTAAACTCTGGAGCTCAGACAAGTTCAAATCCATGTTCTGTTTTAGATGTGTTACCTTCAGCAAGTTACATAAGCTCTCTGGGCCACTTTTCTTATGTGTAAAATGGGATAATGCTAGTACCTATAGCAAAGAGTTGTGAGGATTAAATGAAATAAGGTATGTGGAGTACTTTGCCTAGTATCTAGTTACATTTTAAGCACTCTGCAAGTTTTAGCTATTGTAACCATAATTTATTGTTTTTGTTAGTGAGCATTATTGTGTATGTACTGCATACTTTATGCTGGGAGATAAACTCTTACCTGAAGGAGCTGATGTTTGTAAAGGTAGATATGTAAAATCTTATAATACAGGGATAAATTCTGTTCTGTTAGTATAAAGGATATAATGGAAGCCTAGTTACGGAATTTGTGACATTATGGCTGGTGATTATAAGAAATTGAGTTTAAGTAAGGGACACGTTGGGAAGCCATTGCAACAATTTTATTTATTTTTTTTGTTAATCTTCATCAGAGAATATTTTTTCCATTGCTTTTCAGAGAGAGTGGAAAGGAGGGAGGGAGGGAAAGAGAGAGAGAGAAACATTGATGTGAAAGAGACACATCGACTGGGGGCAGGGAGCGAACCCACAATCCAGATTCGTACCCCTGACCAGGAATTGAACCCATGAACCCTTTGGTGTGCAGACCAACGCTCTAACCACTGAGCAGCGCCAGCCAGCGCAATTGTAACAATTTTAAAAGAACAGTCTTGATCAGGAAGGAGGGAGTTCAAATTGTAGCAGATGGACCATATTGCTCTAGCATGTCTGCATTTTCTAAGGGATTCTGAAACTCTGCCTGTGTTCTCAGCTTTATTTCCAGCCTTTCCCCACAGCCAGAAAATCTGCACACAGGAATGCATAATGGTCTTTTGTTCCTCCATTCTTTTGTATTGTTCTCCCTGTCCACAGGTTAATTCACTTATTCATATTTTAAGAGTCAACTCAAAAATCATCTCTCTAAAAACTTCTCTGACTTCCTGCATTAACTACTTTACTCTTGCCTGTGTACCCAAGTAGGCACTCATGGGCAGGGTAGGGGGGGGTAGAGGAGGGCAACAAGCTTAGAAAAATAGTTTCAGAGGAGCTGTGGGGGCCTAATCCAGATGGTGGGTTGTGGAGAGATTGCAGGTGAGTGTGTAGTTTTCTTTATAGAAGCTGGTCCAATAAGGGAAAGAGAAAGAATGGAAACCAGAAGGGATGATAGGTTTACTCTTCGGCTCCTCTCCTCTCAGTTGGGGGGTGGAAGAGGTCTGAAAGTTCTAACCCTCTAATCCCATGGTGGTTCTCTCATTTTTAGGGACTTTCTAAAGTTCATCTCGTTAACATACACTCAGGTGTGGTGGAAGAAAGTTATGAGTAACAAGACATTCCTTTCACCTTTATGGCTCTAGAGCTATCTCAAAAATTGAGGACCAAAGACCAGATATTAAAAGATGCTCATTTGTTGTAATTCCTTTAGGAAATTTTGTGCAGGGAACGAAGACCAAATACACATTTTTAAATTTTTTTTTTACTGTAAATCACAATATCACAAGGGGAAAGAGGGGAAAGATATAGAAAAAGAAGACTCATCATCTTTGGATTCAGACCCTGGAAGAGACGGGAGAATGGAATTGGTGACAGAGGAGGAGGGATTACTGGAAGGGCACCTCTTCCTCTGAAGGAGAGGGATGAGCAGAAATGTAGGTTAACAACTAGGGGAGTATGAGGGGGGTTAAAGAGCATGTGCCCCATGGGCTGTTTTCTGGGACTTAACGGGCAGTGCCTTCTGAAAGGGAAGGTGAGCTCCCTGTCCTCACAGCCCCCTCTGACCACCTCCCACAGGATATTGACCGCTGGGTCATTACCATGTTGATTTCTCCATCTTCCTTCACTGGATCTTTCACTTCCTGAAGCAGAGACCAGGACTGCGGGGTTGTACAGTTATGCACTTGGCAACTCTAGGGGGCCCCCTCGCACCTCTGTGATGTGAGTGGTGTCCTTAGAGTTGAGCGGTGCACAGACTGAGTTGTAACTTTTACTTTTATTACTGGCCAATAGCATGAAGGTTAACAACTTATTGGTGTTCAGTTGTTTCTTAAAGAAACAAGAGTGATAAATACATAGAGTACCACTGGTGGGGAATATGAGAGTAAGAGTTGCTGAGGATCATTAAGGGCCCAACTGTAAAACCAAATGCACAGAGATAACTCGATGGGAGGTTAAACCATTTCATCCCCTACCACCTGTTAACCTTCACGTAGATGCAGAGAATGCAGACGGCTGAGTTGGTCAAGTTCAGGAGACAGTAAAAGGAGGGACATTCAGGATGGTGGGGAGAGAGAGCTTGAGGAAGTCATGTTCAGTAGGGAGGAAGGAAAGGCCATGTAATTGGGGAGATTCTGATGTCTGTCTCCAAAGGGGAGCTGTGGGAAGCTTCTCAGGATGGGGTTGGTGTTCCCTATTACTGAACACCTTTGTTCTGCACAAATACCCCCTGAATGTCTTATAAGAGAAGGGAGTGTGGTAGGCACACAGCCAGGGCTCTGCTCCAAGAGTTGCAATAGCATATGAATCAGACATTCTGTTCTCTGCCCACATGAGGTGAACACACATTTGCAAATGGGAACTTCTACCGCATACATTGTGCTGAACACTTGATCCCTCTGGATATACTTTCCACCCTTCCCCACCTTGGTCTGTGCTCTGGGAGGCTGGCCTTTATATTTGCTATCAGTGGGCTTCCTTGCCCTCTGGCTTCTGATTGGCTTTTGGCAATGCAGTGGTGGGAATCGGGGGACCAGAGGCTTGAAAGAAATTAATGTCAGGTGCTTTTTCCCACAGCTTCCTTCCTGCTGGGCTATCTGATGACAGTGGTTGCATTTCTCTCAGGACCTGATTTCAGCCTAGTTTCCTCTCCAGCAACTTTTTGGATTCTAATAATCCCTCCTCTGCCTTTCCCTTCAGGCCTAGTGGGTAATGATTCCCCAGCAGAGCCAGCCCCTGCACACTTCAGCAGGCCCTGTTGGAAGCCTGTCCATTCTTTTGTGACTAGCCTGCCCACTAAGCTGTCCTCAGTGACCTCATTTGAGTATGCTGTCTCTTCCCTATGTGAACCCAGGCAGAAGAAATATATCATTTGTAAAAGGAAGTGTTGTATAAAGCAGGGTTCGTCAAGCTGACTTGGAACTGGTAGTAAAGCTTGTTTTGAACAGTGATGCCTGTTGTTTTCCATGGCTTTCTTTTGTGCTACTGTAGTAGAGCTGAATAATTGCAGCAGAGACCAAAGGGCCTGAGAAGCCTAAAATATTTACCATCTGGCCTAAAGAAAAAGTTTGTTGACTCTAGCATAGAAAAAAGAACATGTCTGGCTTGAGGGTGATCTACTTACTAATTGAATGGGCTTGGCCAAGTCATTATCTCATCAAACCTGACCTATAGAATAATAATAACAGCTCACAAAGTGATTGTCAGAATCGAAGCTATAATTAGTCGCTGTGTTTTCAGGAGTCGCTGTCCTTTGAGGATGTGGCTATGTACTTCACCAGAGAAGAGTGGAACAAACTTGACTGGGCTCAAAAGGACCTCTACAGAGATGTGATGCTGGAGAATTACAGAAACATGATTTTGTTGGGTAATTACTTGGCTTAAAGATTTGCCTTTGAGGGCTCTGAGTGTCTACATGAATCCTCAATCCCTTTTCTGCAATCCCAAAATCAGAAAAAGCTCTGGAAACCAGAAATGTTTTCATAACTCATTTGCTACAAGATCCAACTTAAAGTCATCCAGTGGCCGAACCTGACTTCATCCTACAGGAAGCTATTTATCATTCTTATTTTTCCTGTTCAATCTTTGTATCTGTATATTTAGCATTAGAAATATCAGTGTGTTTGATTAAAGGTACAGTTCCAAACCTTGTTGGGGCTTGGGGTAGTATACAATAGAAAGTCAGCTTTGTAAAATCTGGAAAAATTCTGAATCCTGAAGCTCATCCGGCTTCAGGGTTTCAGATAAGGGATCAGGAACAAGGAAATTTCCTTTTGTTCTAGAGTTCATTTCCCACCGCCACTGGCTGCCTCTACGTCTGTAAAGCTTTTTGGAGTTGAAAAGATTGTAGCCGATTGAATTCCAAGGCTAGCTTCTTACTCTCGTGAAATGTCTTATTTCTTTTCTCTGGAAATGAGTTCCTTCCTTGTTTGCAACATCACTGGTTGCCCAGGAAATTATTATTAACCAACTTTATTTCTGAACCTTCACTGCTACTTTCTTCCCAGGAGCCAGCCTTTTTCTTAATCCAATGCTGAATGTCCTATGGTGGAAGTTACCTGTATAAATAGTTCTCTTTCTGGAGACACATTTTTGATCCATTGACAGTCTTGATACACTGTCTGTCACAGCATTATCTACCCACCTCTGGATTTTTTAATGTTTCTTTTTCTTTTAAAAATTACAAGAGCATATTTGAATACATGGACAGTACAGAAAAGCATGAAGGGGAGGGGAAAACATTCAGGGGTAACACTTAATATTTTGAAGTATTTCCTTCCAGTTTTGTTTTTTCCTCTCTGCTTTTAAAAATGTAGCTGAGCGCCCTGGCTGTGTGGCTCAGTTGGTTGAGCATTGTCCCATGCACCAAACGGTCGCTGGGCCGTTTCACCCCGGTCAGGGTGCATACAGGAGGTGACCCATCAATGTTTTTCTCTCACATCGATGTTTCCCTCTCTCCCTCTTTCATCTTCTCTAAAATAAATAAAAACATATTTTTAAAAAAATGTAGCTGGGCATATTCTTTGTATAATTCTGTAAGCATATTCTTTGTATAATTCTGTAATCCCTTTAAAACTTAATATTATAGCGCTAGCATTTTCCCTGTGTTATTAAATGCCCCCATAAATACAGTAAATGATCTTAATGTAAATCTATTGTATGATCCATAATATTTACTTATTTTCCCACTTAGGAATGTTAAGCTTGGCTTTGCTTTGTTTGTTGGTTCTCTTGTGTGTTTATCATTTTTTATATGATAATGTTCCAATGAGTATTTCTGACTATAAATCTTTATATGAATTCCTGATTATTCTTCAAGATATATTCCTGGGACTGGAATTTTGGAGTTAAAGGGTATGGTACTTTTAAGTCTCCTAATATATAATTGAATGATTTTTCAATAATAAAGTAGAAAATAAAAGTCACCTGCAGGTGCAGAAATAACTTGTCAACATTTTGGTTTACTTTTTCCTAGTCTTTTCATATATATGTATACTTATGTACATATACACACACATAGTTTTAAAATAAAAAATGTGGATCATACTTTACATGAGTTTTGAATTATACTGTACATGAGTTTTATATTCTGCTTTTAAAATGTACAGGAAACACTTTCTGGTTTTAATAAATATTTTTTGAACACTTGGATTTTTAATATGTGCCTAATACATTTTCCTTTATTATATTAATGTGCTATACTTTAATTATTCCCCTACTAACATTTATTTCCAGTTTTGCATGGTTATAAATCTGCTGAACAGCTCTGGAACATTAATTTTTTCCTTAGGCTGTAATTCTAAAAGTGAATTTACCACATCCAAGGGTGTGAATATCATCAGGCTGTCAATATCGATTGCCAGATTTTCACAAAGATTGTGCAGATTTCTATTTTCAGGAGCCCTTTTTATTATTGTCCTTACCTCCTTGCCACTGTAGACCCAAAGGGGTTAAACTGAGCTCTAGGGCCTCTCTCTGTAACTCACTAACCACCCCGTCCCTTTTACTTCCCCATGAGTAGGTTTCCAGATTCCTAAACCTGAGGTGATCTGTCAGCTGGAGCAGTGGGAAGACCCATGGATCCTGGATCTTCCAAGAGCTGGGACTAGAAAGGCTTCCAGTAGTGCTTGCCCAGGTGGGTGAGAAGATCCAGTGAAGCAGAAACCGTAAAGAGGAAGGGAAGTCACATTAATGAAGCCCCTCTGTGTCCCAAATCCTGAGCCAGGTGTTTAGCATATATTCTCTCACTTCATCCCTACTGCCCCCTGAAGGTAGCGGGAAGACCATCAGTGCAGAGACTGATAGATGAAGATATCACACAGAAGACTGCTCGTTGGGATTTGATTTCCAGTCTGTGAAGCTCATTCTCTTTTGCACTAAAGTACTTCTCTGAAGCAGCTGATCTGGTGTTTTCTGACAGCTTTTATGCCATCCTAGCTACTGCTTTATTCTATCCTTATTACTTATCCTTTCTCTGTATTTTCTCTTGTTCCCTTGCTTTCATTTTGTTTTCATATTACTTGGTTTTTCTTGATGTACCTTCTTTTTCCTACTTACTATGTCCTTTTGCTGCTTCTACCCTTTTCCACATCCCTCTACTCTAAGGTTTCTCAGTTGAGGCACTTTGACATTTTGGCTGGATAATTCTTTGCTGTTGTGGATCTGTCCTGTGCACTGTAGGATGTTTAGCAGCGCTCTTGGCTTCTACCCACTAGATTCCAGTAGCTCCACACCAGTTGTGACAACTAAAAATGTCTCCAGGAAGTAAAACCACCCCTGGTTGAGAACCACTGCTCTATTTTGTTGGCTTTTGTACCTACTTCTCTCTGGTTCCTTTTCTATTCTATCTTATACTTTCTCCAGTTTTAAGTTCTTTCTCCTAGAATTATTTAAAACATGCTTATCTAGGTAGTATAAGATGCTCTCCCGCCTACATTTATGCAACACTACTGAGCACCTACATTAAGTTGCTTTTTCAGTAATGGTGATGGGTTCATTCGGTTCTCACATTCTCTCACACACCCTTGTGCATTTTTTAGTCAGCTGATGTCAAGAACTCTTTCAGTTATAAAATTTGAGAGTCCTATGAAAATCCGAATTTTGGCCTCTTTAGTATGATGATGTAACTGAGCATTTTTTAGCCTCATTTCAATGTCTTATATCACAAACAGCTTCTTTTCTCTTTTTCCTTCTGTGGTGGACAGGTCACTTATATATTTTCTTTTTGTTTCGCTAGGTTCCGAAGCCAGATACCAGATGATAAAGCTAACTCCAAAGCAGAAAATTTCTGAAAATTTAGAATCATGTAAGATAGCGGTGGTAAAGCAGAAGACAGCCACGACACCTTCAGAAAAGTTAGTTAAATTTAACAAATTTGTGGACATTTACAGAGTTGCACTCCCTAGTGTTGATAATGAATGCAATCAGGACTTCCTTCAAAACGTCAACCTTTTTCAAGATCAGAATGCTCAAACAAGTAAGAAGCAGGGCAGATATGAAGAGTATGGTAAACCCTTCAATCAGAGATCATTGTTTTCGAGGCATAAGCAAATTCTTACAAATTCAAAGTCTTATGAGTGCAGTGAATGTGGAAGAGTCTTCAAACGTCAGGCAAATTTTGTTCGACATCAGAGATTTCACACTTCAGAGGATCCCTTTGAGTGCGACATATGTGGGCAAACCTTCAAACAGAAGTCTGCACTTACTGTTCATAAACAGTGTCACTCTCAAGAAAAGCCATATGAATGTCATGAATGTGGAAAATTTTTCCGTCAGATGGCATATCTTGTTGAACATAAAAGGATCCATACCAAAGAAAAACCCTACAAATGTAGTGAATGTGAAAGAACATTTAGTCAGAATTCAACCCTAATTCGACACCAGGTAATCCACAGTGGAGAAAAAACCCATAAATGCCTTGAATGTGGAAAAGCCTTTGTTCGGAATTCAACGCTTAAAAGCCATCAACAAATTCACAGCAAACCGAATGCTCACAAATGCAGTGAATGTGGAGAATCCTTTGGGCGGAATATAGATCTCGTTCAGCATCAGAGGACCCATACTAAGGGGAAATTATTTGAATGTAGAGATTGTGGGAAAACTTTTAGTTTTAAGTCAAATCTTCATCGACATGAGGTCATCCATAATGGAGAGAGACCCTATAGATGTGACAAATGTGGGAAATGTTTCAGTTGGCGCACCAGTTTTATTAAGCATCAGGGTACTCACAGAGAGCAGGTATCTGTGTGACTAATGGGAAAAGCTATAACTTAAAGACCATAGCTTGCCACTATTGCAAGTATGTATCATTAGATTGTTTTATGAAAATTAATAAACAGGAGCCAAGCTTTATTTTTCCGTGAGGCCCTCATTTTGTAGGTGACCTTGCTGTAGTCCAGAATTCATAGAAAATGTGATAGGCTGTTGTGTTCGGTTTCCTGTGAGTCCCTATGCCTTCATTCCCCAAGTCAAGTGAAGGCAGAAGGGAGGCCTGGAAGCTTTGCTCTATGGTCCCCAGGCTGGACACCATTTAATAAATTGTGAATGATTTCAGATTCCCTTTCTTGGTTTCACACAGAATAATGACCTGATACTGATGGCTGTTTAAAAGTAAGTGCTACTTGCTAGTAGCTAGTGAGGTATTAAGAATTACTTAAACTTTTTTATAAAATTAAATTAGTGTGCTACTACAGCGATTTTCAACCTTTTTCACCTCATGGCGCACATAAACTAATTACTAAAATTCTGTGGCTTGCCAAAAAATATGTTTTTGCCGATATGACCAAAAAAAAAAAAGTATAATTTTGATTCATTTGCACCGGACAGCTATTGTTGTGTTGGCTGTGGTCATTTTTTTTGTTTGACAGTCTAAGGGAAAAGAGGTCAGTGCCCCTGACTAAATAGTCAGGTATTGCATGTTTTAAAAATTCTTTCAGCACACTGGTTGAAAATCGCTGTTTCTACTGAGAGTTTTTCATCAATGTTTATAGCAGATGCTGTTGGTGCCCTGCTCCTGCCCCTCTGGCCTTACCCCTTTTGTGTGTTTTATCTGTCTTGCACTGTCTTCATCTCTTGGTCTGCAGGCTTTTTCTAAAACCATGAAAGGCCACTGCTCTGTGGGGGTAACTAGCACATCCTGGGAGCAGGCCTTATACAATGCTTGATGGGAATTTGATATAAACTAGATCTCCCTCCCCTTGGGTGGAATATCTCTGAAGCATGTGTTGTATACTGGTTTCAGATCTTCCCATGGGATTACACGCATTTACTCACAATGGCAGCTGTGTTATCAGCTGTCTTCCCTTACTTGTGTCTCTTCACTCCCCTACCAGTGTTTCAGCACCTCTACCTGCAAGTAAATGACTTGTACTCAAAAGTGTCGACTATAGTCCTTGAGGAGCCATATCTTTTTTATTCCCACAGTTATTCCAAGCACATTCTTTGTTTGTTTAAAAAAATGGTTTATCGATTTCAAATTGTATAAAGCTCATGGGAGGAACCTAGCCAATCAGTACACTGTTGCCACATGGAAAGGTACTTTTATCAAACTTCAAGTTTAAGAACGTACACATGTTCCTTTTACCACGTTTATAGTAATTACCTATGCTTTTCCACTTAAATTTTTATTTTTATTTTTTAAATGTTTTTATTGATTTTAGAGAAAGAGGAAGGGAGAGGTAGAGAGAGAGAAACATAGATGAGCCTGGCCGGGCGTGGCTCAGCGGTTAAGCATCGACCTAGGTGATCAGGGTTCGATTCCCAGTCAGGGCACATGCCCGGGTTGTGGGCTGCAGCCGATCAATGACTCTCTCATCATTGATGTTTCTATCTCTCTCCCTCTCCTTTCCTCTCTCTGAAATCAATAAAGATATATTTAAAAAAAAAAAAAAGAAACATAGATAAAAGAAACATCAACATCTATCAGCTGCCTCCTGCATGCCCCCTGCTGGGGATTGAACCCGAAACCCGGGCATGTGCCCTGCTGGGGAATTGAACCAGCGACATACTGGTGCATGAGTCAACGCTCAACCACTGAGCCACGCCGGCGGGGCTCCATTTTTTAAAAGTCCACATATCCCCATTATTGTTTCTTTCCCATTTACAGTACAATGATGGGAGGAAAGGGTTGGTTAAAACAACTCTCTAAGTTTTCTGTGGCCCCTTCTTTCCAGTCAGAGACTTGTAAATGTGAGGGATACCACCCCCTTCCCCCAGCTGTAGTAGCCTTGAGTCCAACTCATCATCGCTACCTATTGTAAGCTGCAAGTGACGTGGAGTGATCTGCTTTCCTTTGAGATCCTGGGAAGCATTACCTGCCAGCTCCAGCACCTTAGCAGTGAGGTACTCCAGGATTTCAGCACTATACACTGCAATAGTGACACTGACCATTCCCAGGTTTGTGGTGTGAGTCTTCAGATGTCTGTGGATGCAGCCATGGGACACTTTAGTGAGCTCTCAGTGAGTGAGACACTGCCTTAGCTTTGGCCTTCCCACTGTCCTTTCCAGGTTTGCCTCCTTCCATGGTTTCAGCCACTTGTGCCAACCCACCAGCCACCACTGCCTCTGCTGCTCCTGCAGCACCAACCACAAGCACATTCTTATATGCAGGTTATACTGGTTGAGCTGACTGTATTATGTATTACTCTTCCCTATAGCTCACCAATACAAGAAACCCATTTGAAATTATAATACCCAAACATCCTAGATCTGCATTGAAATTCACTGCTGTTTAGACCCTGTCATATTATTCAAGTCCCCTCTAGTTTATTATTTTCTCACACCCACCAATTCCATTATTTCTTACCCAGTATATAAAAACAAAAAGTGCTAATGATACTGAAAAGAAAACAAGTGGCATCCCATAAAATTGAGGAATCTTAAGCCTTGCAGGATGAAAATATTGATTATTGTTAGATTGTATATTGGGTTGAAAAATACCTAATTAATATATTTGTATTGGTCATCATGAATTGGCTAAAAGAAAGGGCTGCCAAATTATTTTTCCCTAAGCAAAATTAAGAAGTTGAGACTTCTGCCCTGGCTGGGAGGCTCAGTTGGTTAGAGCCTCGTCCTGATAAGCCAAGGTTGCAGGTTTGATCCCTGGTCAGGGCACATACAAGAAGCAAGCAATGAATGCGTAAATAAGTGGAACAACAAATCTCCCTCTCCCTTCCTCTCTCTAGAATTGATAAATAAAAATTAAAAACTGATGAGAAAATAAGCCAATAAGAAATAAGTTCCCTTTAACACAACCTTGGGAGATGGGTACCTATTGAAAACCAGATCCAAGCTTGAATACACAAAAGTCTGGCCCAGGCCATTAAGTCTGTTCTGTTCAGATAATGTACAAGCTTCCAGCTTTCCAGAACTAAAGGCTCCAGGGTTAACATGAAACACACCTACAATTGGCCACATCTGTCCCAAAGGGAAGAAAAGATCTGCACTGTTCAATATGGTAACCAGTAGTTACCAAATTAATATTAAAACCCACTGGCGTGGCTCAGTGGTTGAGCATAGACCTTTGATCCAGGAGGTGGCTGTTTGATTCCTGGTTTTGGGCTCGATCCCCAGTAGGGGGCATACAGGAGGCAACCTATCAATGACTCATCACTGATGTTTCTATCTATCCTCCTCTTCCTTCCCCTCTCTGAAATCATTAAAGACATCTTTAAAAAAACATTAAAACCCATTAAATTCCTCAGTCAAAACCCATATTTCAAGGTCACAGATTTAGAACATTCCCATCATCACAAAGTTTGATTGGACAGCACTGTAGAGAGCCTGTAGGACTTCTTATGGAGACACAAAGGAGCTTGTGTTTGGTGCTACTTCCTTCTCTACAATGAAATTGACTTCTTTTCCCTATAAAATGATCCCTGTAAAATGTTTGACTTATGTTTGAAAATATTTTTTTTCAGTCGAATTTCTGGGACAGAAAGTTGAGAGAGATGCTGCTGCTCTGGAAGCCTTGCTGAGCTAATTTGCTTTGGGAGAAAGGAACCCCACACCTCAAGAATGTGAGTGCAAGTTAGGCTTTCTGCCTTCCCCCAACAAGCTAGACAGTTTGAAGGCCAAGAACACAATATTAGCAATGTCAGTGTCAGTATATGGTTGTTCTTGTTAACAAGTAAGGCGAGGACTTTAAGCTACTCCTCCAGAGAAGGTAATGGGGAAGAAATGCTCAAGTTTTGGCTTTCATATTTGGCTAATGGGCTGGGCCCATTGTCCTCCATGCCTCAGTAGACTGAGCAACCTTCGGCTCAATCAATGAAGGTTGGGGAATCTGGCAAGTCTAGACTATTCTACCACACTAGAAAAGGCACATCTTATCTTGAAGATTTTTTCATATTTAAATCAAGGGGAAAAAAAAAAATAATACAAGTGTTAATTTGCTTACTTTAGCTAAAAATGCTAAACTAAAATTTAAAAAAATAGGGTGTGTTGTCCAGCCGGCATGGCTCAGTGGTTGAGCATCAACCTATGAACCAGGAGGTCACAGTTCAGTTCCCAGTCAGGGCACATGCCTGGGTTGTGGGCTCGATTCCCAGTGGGAGGCATGCAGGAGGCAGCCAGTCAATGACTCTCATCAGTGTTTCTATCTCTCTCCCTCTCCCTCTCTCTGAATAAAGACATATTAAAAAATAAATAAAAGTGTAGTGGTGAGCCTTGGCCAGGTAGCTCAGTTGGTTAGAGCATCGTCCTGATATGCCAATGTTGCAGGTCCAATCCACAGTCAGGGCACATACAAGAAGCAACCAATGAATGCATAAGTAAGTGGTACAACAAATCGATGTTTCTCTCTCATGTCCTCTCTCTCTAAAGTCAATAAATAAAAGTAATGCCATACTGTTTTCTATAATACATGTAACAATTTATACACCCAACAGCAATAGATGAGAGTTCCCACCACTCTATGTGTTTATCAATACTTGGTTCTGACAGATTTTTAAAGATTTGATCATCTGTAAGGAATGAAATAGTATTTAATTGTGGCTTAATGTGCATTTCTATTATTACTAATATAATTGAGCAGCTTTTCATTATCATGGGCTATGCTTTCAATTTTGTCTTTTCCGAGTCTTCATGTGGTTGAATTTATCAGCTTTTTCTTTTATCGATAGTGCTTTATGAGTCTTGTTTCAGATTGCTACCAATTTTTCAGAAATTTGTTTTTGTTCTTCCTGGGCACACGGCTAGATCACATTTCACAGCTTGTATTGTTGTTCAATGTGTCTAGGTGACCGAATCCTAACCAGTGGAGTATGAGTAGAGATGATGTGTGCCGCTTCTTGGCTAGGCCTATGAAAGCTCTCTCACCCCTCCATGCTTTTCTCCCTTCCAGTTGACTAGGTTAGAAAACCCCAGGCATCTTGGAAGCCGGGTGTCAAAGACAGCAGGGCTGCCATCAGACTGACAGCTTGGAGGAGAGCCACCCTGCCAGGAATGTATTATGTACCTTAAACTGTTACAAGAGTGAGAAATGAACAACTATACCTCTTGGGGTCTATTTTTTAGAGCTGTTATCGTTAAGCACACTTAATAAATGTTTAAGATACTCTTCACTAATTTGAGATCAGAAAAATACCTTCTATATTTTTCCAACAGATTTGAAGTGTTTCAGTAAAAAATTGAATGAATTATTGAACAAATAACTAAGCTTGGTCTTTTAGCTCTTTCCATTATGGGTTTAGTTGTGTCTTCACCCCAAAAAATGTATATTTTGAAGTCCTAAATCCTAGTACCTTGGAATGTGACTGTATTTGGAGATAGGGCCTTTAGGAAGTGATTAAGTTAAAACGAAGTCACTAGGGTGGGCTGCAATCTAATCTGACTGGTGTCCTTATAAAAAGAGGAAATTTGGATACAGATCTATGCAAAAGGAAGACCGTGTGAAGACATAGGGAGAAGACAGCGATGTATAAGCCAAGGAAAGAGGCCTCAGAACCAACCTTGCCAACATCCTGGAGTTCTAGCCTTGAGAACCCTAAGAAAATAAATTTGTTATTTATTGACCCAATCTGTGGTATTTTTTTATGGCATCAGAGCAAACTAAGACACTTGCCCTTTATAATGATGGCATATACACATTAACTTACTGTAATAGTAGTTTGCATGGTAAACAATAAAACCTACAGATAGTGTTAGTAAAGAAAACGTTTTGGGGTAGGATAATTGAGAAGTAAAAATTTTAAACTGTTTTATGAGTGGAGTTTTTCCTTTGTTATTTGTGATTTAGGGGCTGAAGAAAGGGAGCTGGGATTAAAGCAGAGTAAGCATCTCGACCAAAGGCATATATGTGGGAAATTCAAGTAGTATATGGGTAATAGTAAGTGCCTGTAGAAGGTAGAAGAGGAAAAGAATGGAGGAAAACTAAAATTGGAGAGAGAATAGTCCATTCTAAGTTTGCAGTTACTATAGTAAAAAGAACACTAGGATCGTAACCTTACCAGATTTATACAGGGTGGGGCAAAAGTAGCTTTACACTTGTTCATATGGAAGATAATTCAATAATTAATACATAATACAAGAATAAACTCTGTTCTGCACACTCACAGCTGTAAACCTCCTTTTGCCCCACGCTGTATATGACTATCACTTGCTAGCTGTCTGACCTTGGGCAAATAACCTTGATAAACTTGGAGAAAACACCAGTGTGATACAACTCATGGCCTTCTTAAACTTTTACCATCACTTCACCCTCAGCCCAGTTTTCTTAATACTAAATCTCATTTAAATAAAAGTTAAATGCCCCACACGATACCCCAAAAGTCTGAATGCACCTAGGCCAGCCCTCTCACAGTCCCTCCTGTTGGTTACAAGGAGGGTCAAAGGAAGAAGTACACACTACTATTCTACCATGTCCAAGATAAAGGTGGTGAGTTTTGAAAGGCAAGCAATTGGGTTTTATTTTTTGTATATTTATAAAAATTAATATGAGGTAAAAGTGGCAAGGCTAAAGTAGAACTCTCATTATAGACTGTAATTGGCTTTTGCTTCAGGGGAAATTGGGAAGGTGCATTAAAAGCCCAAAATAGCTCACACACTCATCAAAGGGAACCTAGCCTTAGATTCTAAAGAACAATCCAAATTATGCTCAAATTGCATTGATATTCACTACAGCCTTGCTTGCAACAATAAAAAATGAGAAATGCCTGAAATTTCCAATAAAAGGAAAATGGCTCAATTGTTACATCCACTTGATGGAATATGATGCAGCCATTGCATAAAGGTTATGAAAATCATGTAAATTCCTTAATAATATTAAAGATATGAAATATAAAAATGATTTTTATTATATAAAAATATGCACACAAAAAATATCAGAAGGGATACAGTTGACCATCGAACAACACAGGTTTAAACTCCGTTCAGTTATATAGATTTTTTTCAATAAATATACAGTCAGCCCTCTATATCCACAGGTTTCACATCTGTGGATACAACCAACCTCGAATGGAAGACAGTGTTTTCAACCTGTGGTTGGAAATCTGCGAACATAGGAGACTGATTGTGTACATTTTTCTGCACCATTTTATATAAGGGACTTGAGCATATGCTGATTTTCGTATCTGAAAGGGTCCTGAAACCAAACCCCATGGATACCTAGGGATGACTTATTGGGGGAGTCAAAAGTTGTATGTGGATTTTTGACTGTGCAGGGTGTAGGCACCCCTAACCCCCATGTAGTTCCAGGGTCAACTGTAAATGCCAGTAACAGATCAAGTGTGGGAGTATGGGTGATTTTTTTCCTCTGTTGTTTTCCCAAATATCCAATAATGCGCTTATATTTCCTTAATTAAAAAAAGGTTCATAAAGAATTTAGATGCAATACATGTCACCAATGTGCAGAACTAGAAAAAACTAAGATTTAGGTAGGCTCTAATCCAAGTTTTTAGTTGTGCCTACAATTTAACACAATAGGGAAAGAATGGGAAAGAGGGACTCTGCAAAATTAAAAGTCAAAAATATAAAATGGCTCTTGTATGCACTGAACTATATGTATGAGGTGTTTTGGATGATAAAGTATTTGAAATCCTCTCTACCACCTAAGTAGAAAGACACTTCTAAGTTACTAAAATGAATTCTTGGGGAAGTAATTGGAGTGCGCAAGATCTGTCCAAGAGCAGCAGAGGTAGGAAGAGTGGAGACAAGGACAGAACTGTTGCATGTCAGCCCTCACCCTTCTCAGAAGTCTCCTCCACAAAACCATCTGGTGGAGGGGCTCCCAACTTACACGTTTCTCCTTCATAGCAATACTCCATGAACATATGTCTTGAGACTAAGTCAGACTGAATCTATCTTGGGTGTGATGCCCAAGGAAATATGATCCACGACTGACTGTAATGCTCCAAAAGCCGGAGAATGTAGTTTCAGGGCAATGGTACAAAGAAAAGAAATAAATAAAACAGCTCACGCAGAAGCATGTCAAAATCATGGGACTTTATTTCTATGGATCCTTTGGTGTCGGATAAGGTGTGGACTCTGTCTAAAGCTTTCCCCACATTCAAGACATTTATAAGGTTTTTCTCCAGTGTGAGTTCTCTGGTGTATGATGAGGGTTGTACTCTGACTGAAGCATTTCCCACAGACAGAACATCCATAAGGCTTCTCCCCGGTGTGGATTCTCTGATGTTTAGAGAGGTCAGAGCACCGTTTGAAGCTCTTCTCACATTCTTCACATGTATAGGGTCTCTCCCCCTTATGAATTCTCTGATGTCTAAAACGGTTGGAAATGCGGCAGGTCTCCCCACATTCGGTACATTTATAGTGTTTCTCTCCTATGTGGATTCGTTGATGCCGATTGAGATGTGAGCTCTGTCTGAAGCTGTCCCCACATTTGGGACATGTGTACGGCTTTTCCCCTGTATGTGTCCGCTGGTGTTTAATGAGGGCAGCACTCTGACTGAAGCTCTTCTCACATTCTTGGCATTTATAGGGTTTCTCCCCAGTGTGGATTCTCTGGTGTTTCAAGAGGTCGGAACGATGTTTGAAACTCTTTTCACAGTTATCACATTTATAAGGTCTTTCTTCACGGAGCTGCCTCTGGGTCTCAAAAAGGCCTGAAGTACAGAAATTTTTCTCACTGTCAATAGATTTATGAGGTTTCACCATTAGAAGTTTCACCATTTCTAACCTCTGTCTGCACTTGTTGCCATGTTCACTGCCATTAACAGACCTCTCTGGTGACAGGCCATGCGGACAAAGAACCAAGTTTGAACTTCTGGCACTGTTCCCAATCTCATTATTTTTGGAGTCTTCCTCTTCTATAGGACCATTCTTGAGATCTGAGATTCTGGTGAGTCCTTGCTCTTCAGGAGAATTTTCAAGTTTCAGCAATGAAGGATTTCCTGAGTGCTTTTCTACAGTCTCCTCGTGGGTATCACCATCCTGGGACAACAGGAGAGCCTTCCCCTGGGACACTTTCTGTAGCTGCATCTGTGGCTCTACTTCTAGAATTTCTTGCTTTGGAATCAACTCTTTGTTCTCTGTTTTGGTTTCCAAACCTGAAATATTAAAATACAAATTGCTGACATTTCATCTTTACAGGAGTGAAAGAAATAAGTGCTAGCAGAAAAACAGCCCCCCCCCATGAACTTTTTAATCTCCATGAAACCACTCCTGAAGTTAAATTGTTTTAGATGTGCTCACATTTTCCTGTATAAACCCTGTTTCTTTGCTTTTATATTTATACCTGCACCCACCAACCCATGTCTTGTCCCTCTGCCCCATTTCACTGTTCTATGAGTCATCATATTATGACAGGCAAATCTGGAAGAGCTGTCATGAGAGGTGGTAGAGCTTTTATCCTATGTCTGAAGTACGGTTTAACAAAAAATTCTATTCTTGTGATGAGTTACAGTATTAGACATACCAGGTGCCTCCAATGTCTGAAGGCAGGGTCAGTGTGGGAGGTAAATCTAGGACTGACTGGAAGTCCATAAAGGAACAGTCAAGACACTGGATTCCACCCCCAATCCAGAATTCTTACAGTTTACTGTCCAGGAAGGCTGAAGCAGATAAATTCTGGATCAGTGACATCAGACCAGCTAAGAACAGGCAACAAGTACTACTACCATATCAGGGCAATCAAGTGAAAATTGACACACTAACTGGTACAACCTCAATGTACTATCCTCTCCTCAGGCTCAAACTATTGGCTCCAAAGCTTATATCCTCCAGGCAGAAATTTTTATAGTGGGAATTTTATAGCCTTATTTCCTATTGTATCCCCATCTAGAATGGCACCTGGCTTACTGCAGACACTCAATAAAATATTTGTTGAATAATCTCTCTACGGTAAAACTTACCAGCCCAGGCCAAAAGACCTAGAGACACTGACAAAAAGGAATTCTCAAGTATAACAGAACCTGATGTCTAACCCTACACTGAAGATCACCACAGTTCACGAGTCCTACCCCGACAGATTCCAGTCAGAATTCTTACATTTATTAAATACAAACAGAAAGTAAAAGACCACCAACATTTCAAGAAAACCTTGAACAGAAATGCTAATGAAACATGCAATGAGATTCCAAGATGGCAGGGACTGAGTGGAAGCTACAGTGACACTCTCCCAGGACCAAACTGAAATTACAACTAAAATATAGAAAAAACATCCTGAATAATCAACTTAAGATGAGCTGGAGAGCACCCTCATACCCAAGGATGTAAAGAGAAGATTGCATAGAGACTGACAGGAAGTGCAGAGGTGCGAGAGGGCTGGCTGGGCTCTGACAGGCAGCAGCTGAAGGTCCAGAGGGATATCTCAGCTGTAGGGGCTTCCCATTGAGGACTCTGGGGCCTAAACCCCAGGCTAGGCTTCTGGGCCAAGAGCACCAGAACTGAGAAAGGTGCCCACATAACATCTGGCTGTGAAAAGCAGCTGGGTTTCTGTCTCCCAGGAAGAGGCAGCTATAAATGCAGGCACCCTCTTAAAGAGCCAAAACACAAAGTTTCATGTGCAGCCACTCCCCTTGGGCTCTGGCAGAGGGAAGGCAGAGTAGACTAGAGCTGTATGAGGAGAATCCAGGGTTGCTGGTTTGGGGTATGGAGATCAGAGGGCATCTGGATTTCTGTGCTGATTCATTCTCCCATAAGGCAGAAAACATCTTTCTCAGGCAGACCCTTACCAGCCAGGCACCTTTTGCCTGGGGCNGGGGGGAGTCATTCTGTCAGAAAACCTCTTGCCCCACCCTGTGGAGTCTCTACAGCCTGAGGTTCATTAAGAGACTGATAACAATCAGCCACCCCAACCTTGAGCATCCTTACAGTCAGTATTCTGAACTCTATAAAGTCTGAATAACAATCAGCCTCTGGGTGCTTTGCGTATTTGCCTGATTTGCTTCTGGACCTAAGGCTTGGAAAAGCAGACCTTGGTGTACATCCTGGTCCTGTCCAAAAACACTCAGCCCCAGCAGAGAACACCATAAGCTGTGGAGTTCAGAAAACTTCAAACAGGGTATTCAAGGCCAGTTACAAACAGCGTATGATATTGGCCTGTACCAGAGACCATCCAAAAGACTGGGAGTCCTAGCAGATTTACCTAATACATAGAAACAAATTCAAACAGGCAGCCAAAATGGGAAGACAAAAAAACAGAAACAAAAAACAAGCCCCAAATGAAAGAACAAAAGAATTCTTCAGAAGAAGAGCTAAATGAAATGGAGATAAGCAATCTATCAGACATAGAATTCAGAATATTGACTGTAAGGATGCTTAACAGCATGCAAAAAGATGTGAAAACTATGAAGGAAATTAAGAATGACATAGTAGAAATAAAAAAAAAAAATCTGAGGGAATAAACAGCAGATTAGGGGAAGCTGAGGACCTGATCAGCGAATCAGAAAGAAAAAAATCACTCAGAAAACCAAAAAGAAATAATTAAAAAACAGGAGGACAGCTTAAGGGAGCTGTGGGACAACATGAAACGTAACAATATTTGCATCACAGGACTGCCAGAAGAGATCAAAAGTAAGCAAGGCTTAGAAAACCTGTTCGAAGAAATAATGGGAGAAGACTTCCCAACCTGGTGAAGGAAAAAGTCATACAAGTTCAGGAGGCACAGAGAGTCCCAAGCAAGAAGAACCCAAAGAGGCCATAGCCAGACACATCATAATTAAAATTCCAAAAATTCAAGACAAAGAAAGAATCTTAAAGGAAGCGAGAGAAAACCAATCTATTACCTACAAAGGAGCTCCCATAAGGCTGTCAGCTGACTTCTCATCAGAAACTCTACAGGCCAGAAGGGAATGGCATGAAGTATTCAAGGTAATGCAAAACAAGGATCTGAAACCAAGACTACTCTATCCAGCAAGGCTATCATTCAAAATAGATGGTGAAATAAAAAGCTTCCCAGACAAAACAAGGCTAAAGGAGTTTATCACCACCAAACCAGCATTGCAGGAAATGTTAAAGGGACTGCTGTAATAAGAAGTTGAAACAGAAAGGATGAGAAACATAGGCATAAAGAAATAAAATGGCAATAGATAAGCACCTATCAATAACCTTAAATATAAGTGGATTAAATGTCCCAATCAAAAGATAAAGGGTAGCTGAATGGATAAGAAAACATGACTCAAATATATGCTGCCTACAAGAGACTCACCTCAGAACAAAGGACTCACACAGGCTGAAAAACAAAAAAACAAAAAACAAACTTCTGGAGGACTTTAAAGGAGAGATTGATTGTAATACAATCATAGTAGGGGACTTTAACACCTCGCTGACTTTACTGGATAGATCTTCTAGACAAAAAAATCAACAAGGAAACGGTGACTCTAAATGACACACTAGATCAGATGGATTTAACTGACGTTTACAGAACATTTCACCCCAAAGCTGCAGAATATGCATTCTCCTCATGTGCACATGGGACATTCTCAAACACAGACCACATGTTAGGACACAAAACAAGTCTCTAAAAGTTCAAGAAGACTAAAATCATATCAAGCATCTTCTCGGACATTTATACCATGGAATACTATGCAGCTGTAAGAAAGAAGGATTCCCCCCGGCCAAGCATGACTCAGTGGTTGAGCATCGACCTAGGATCCAGGCGATTGGGGTTCTATTCCTGGTCAGGGCACGTGCCCGGGTTGTGGGCTTGAGGCAGCCAATCAATGACTCTCTCATCATTGATGTTTCTAGCTCTCCCTCTCCTTTCGTCTCTCTGAAATCAATAAAGATATATTTAAAAAAAAAAAAAAAGAAAGAAGGATCCCTTGCCCGGCCAGACATAGCTCAGCGATTGAGCATCAACCTAGGATCCAGGAGATCACGGTTCGATTCCTGGTCAGGGAACGTGCCCAGGTTACAGACTCAATCCCTGGTGGGGGTGGTGCGGGAGGCAGGCGATCAATGACTCTCTCTCATCATTGAAGTTTCTTTCTCTCTCTCTCTGCCCCCCCGAAATCAATAAAAACACATATTTTTTTAAATAAGTAGATAAATAAAATACTATAAAAAATTCCTTACAACTCAAAGATATTAGTGTCTATATTATAAGGGCCTACCAACCAAAAACAGTGAATGGGGAAAAAACAACTTCACACTAAGCCACATCTATTGTGAAATTTCGTAGTAGCAGGAATAAAGAAAAGTTTCTAAAGGCTTCCACACAGGACCAACAGATTGTACACCAAGGATAAAATATCACAGTGACTTAAGATTTCTCAATAACAACATGGGAAGCTAGCTAGAAAATTCATAGTCTTCAAAATTAAAACATTATTTCTAACACAGAATGCTATGTCCAGCCACACTATAATCCAAATGTAAGAGAAAACTAAAGATATTTTCTGACATTCACAGTTTCAAAAAATTTAGCTCCCAAGTATATGCTCTCTGGAACACACCAGAAGAGTGCTCCATCAAATCAAGGGGGTAAAACCAAGGAAGAAAATGGTATGGGATCCAGGAAAGAAAAAAGGAATTCCCAGAGTAATAATGAAGGAGAGTTCTAGGAGAACAGCTGTGTAACAAGTCTGGAGAAGAAGCCTATTCACACTGGAGCAGAGAGAGCTTCAGGGGAATCTCTCCAAGGGGATATGAAAATGACGGAATATCTGATGTATGTGAATATGCTGAGAGGAGTTTTATATTTCTAACAGAAAGCTTGTGGGTGAACTAGTGTTCACTAGGAGGCGGCACATGCAAAATGAAACATTTTTAATTCCAGGGAAAACTGTAAAAGGAAAGTGTAAAAGCTGTAAAAGAAAAGTTATTCAGTATGTGGGTGAATATAGATAGTATTTGGTTTTTTAGACTCAATTGTTGATAGAGATATGTATTTACTGCCATTTTATTGTTCACATATATATTTTTCTTCTTCTTTCAAAAGGAATACTTGGGCTACTGTGTTAAGACATCATGCCATCAGCTGAACACCAAATGTTGACAAGGAAGTGGAGAAAGAAGAATTCCTGTATACTGCTGGTATCCTTTTGGACAGCAAGATGGGCAAATGTCACTAAGTATATTCTTGTCAGAAACTCCTACACATGACCATAGGGAGAAGGACACAAGAATGTTCAGTGTAATACTGTTTGTAATTGGTGAGAAACTTTCACCAATGTCCACTGACAGGAGAATGGATAAATGAACTTTGGAATATTCTACAATAAATATATGGATGTTAAAATGAATAAACTAGAGCTACATGTATCAACATGGATCATCTAAAAAGTGTAATGTTGGGAAAAAGGCAAGGTGCAAAAGAACCATACAGTAATACAATTTTATATACCATAAAAACATAAAAATAGTATATATATATGTTTTTATATATTTACGTGTTTATACACCTCTTTAGATACACACACACAGACACACAGAGGGAGAGAGTGTATGTATGTATGTATGTATGTATGTATGTATGTGTGTGTGTGTGTGTGAATGTGGCTACATGAATATGTAAAAGAACATAAAACACACATGGAAATGATAAATACCACAAGATACTGGTTACCTCTGGAAAAGGAAAGAGGGGAATAGCTTTCAGGGAGGGTACACATACAGCTGTAACATATTTTTATTTAAAAAACATATGGCCCAGCCTGCATGGCTCAGTGGTTGGGCATTAACCTATGAACCAGGAGGTCATGGTTCGATTCCTGGTCAAGGCAGATGCCCAGGTTGCAGGCTCCCCAGTACAGGGAGTGCAGGAGGCAGCTGATCAATGACTCTCTCTCATCATTGATGTTTCTCTCTCTCTCTCTCCCGTCCTCTCTCTGAAATCAATAAAAACATATTTTAAAAAACATTTTTTTAAAATAAAAGTAGAAAAATAAAAAAATATGAAGCCAATATGGCTGATATTACAATTTTATAAACCTGGGTGGTAGATACACAGGTGTCCATTATATTTTTTTACACTTTCTGTATGTATTTTATTAAAAATGAATCGAAACAAGAAGCTGAATCTATCACCTAACAATACAGAAGAGAAAGATCTTACTTAAGGTCACAAAAGAGACTCTAAGGCTCTCAACCTATGTCTGTGAATGGCAGTCTGGCTCAGGGATCAAACTGAAGCAAGCCCTTCACAAATGACACACAGCCAGATAAATGCAAAGTCATAGCACTTACTTGACAGGACTGTGTTCCCATAATCCTTCAGCGCGCTCTTTCTGTAGAAGTCCCTCTGAACTGGATCCGCATGCTCCCACTGCTCCCAGGTTACAGGCACATCCTTGACCTTCACCAATCTCTAAAACAAAAGATGACCATCCCTCAGCACCTGCTGTCCCAGGATAACCTTACTAGTCTCAGGATGAGGCCAGACTCCAGAGAAGAGTCACCACTGAGAATGAAGTAACAAATAGCTGTTGCGTTTTTACCAGTGAATCTTATACTGATGGGGGAGTTTCAAAATGACCAAAGACAGAGGCTGCCATTCTCTTGCAATCCTGAAAAGCCCTTCTGTGAACTAATTTGGGGTAAGAGCAAAATATTCATTTGAATTACATCACTATGATTTATCAAAATGGAAATCTGATATAGATTAAAAATGTACAGATAATCACAAAGTCCTAAATTTCTCATGTGTGAAATACAGATATCTGTCTTAAGATAAAGGTACTTCATCAACAGCAGGTACTCAATAAAATTTTCTTTCCCTTCCTTGACCTTTGCACAGTAAGATTACCCAACAAGATGATCTTTTGAGATGGCTTATCTAAATGTAAGTTGACTATTCACAGAAGGTAAAGCCACACTTCCTAGAAAGGGAAGGTTCTAAAACTGGTACAGGGAGATGGTTGTCTCTAGATTCCAGTGATGACTCACAAACTGACTCCAAGGATCTCTCACTCAATGACAGGGAAGGGAAATGTTTGTTTTTTTAAAATTTTCTTTTATGTTTTGACATCTTTAAAAAAGAAAAAACTTTCTGGCTGGGGGGACTGCCCTTCCTGGGGCCAACCAATTCTTAGAGAGCAAAGGGCTCAGCTGAGACTGGTTAATCCAGAGCCATATCTTTTCTATCTGGCATGGGTGTACCCCAGGAGGCAAGATTCCTCTGCCTTAACCATCCCAAGGCCAGGTACCAGGCAACTAGGAACCACCACTATAATTTACAGCTGATTCAAATTACTTAACCAATCCTATTGTTTATCCTGCCATGCCTTTCCTTTCCCTCTGAAACCCCAATTTAGGCTCTGACCTAACTTTTCCCTAGCTCCTGTCATCTGCCTCCTGTCCACCTGGTGTCTTTCCCATGAGGTTCTGTGCAGCATGTAATTCCTATGTCCAGGACCTGAGTGTAGTACACCCCGCCCCCAGCCTCTCCTCTGTCTCTGTGTGAAGGAAAACCACACTCCTGTGTGTCTTCTCTACTCTTAATACTCTGAATACTTCATTACAAACTACTTCACTTCTAACACCAGATGTGTGTTTCCACATGTCAAGCAATTCTCCAACAACAGCTGTGTCCTACAGTTTAACTCAATTCTGACACTATGGAGTTGGGCTCAGATTCCACAGGTTAAGGGGTCAGTCCTACAAGACTACCCCCTCCCCAACTGCAGATGCTAAGTGCAGGTCCACAACCTGTTTCTGACCAACCAGCTTTAGAACAGAGGTTCCCTCGACCCCTCTCTTTGGGTTCAAAATTAATTTCCTAGAGCAGCTCCAGAGCTCAGGCAAACAATTTACTTATTAGACTACCAATTTAGTATAAAAGGCTATGACTCAAAAACAGCAAGATAGAAGAGATGCATAGGGCAAGGTCTGGGAGGGTCCCAAGCTCAGAAGTTTCTGTCCCCATGGAGCTGGGGTGTGTTGCTCTCCCACTAAGTGGATGAATTTAATAAACCTGGAAGCTCCCTGAACCCCATACAATTGGGACTTTTATGGAGGCTTCATCACGTAGCTATGATCAATAATTAACTCCACTTCCAGCCTCTCTCTCCTCTCTGGAGTACTATTATCCACTGTGGGAGGAGGGAGTCGCCAAACCCTTAAAAAGTAAAAAAAAGATCCTCACATTCAAAGTGGCAGGGAATTGCTGTTCTAGCATCCTGACATCTTTCTTGCCCCAATAATCTAGTTGGACAAAAGGGTGTATCACAATGGGTAAACAATACTCTCCAGTAGGTTTTGTTCTGAGAGATCTCTAACTCAAGGATCATGCCCTGGATGGATTTGTCACTGTTTCCTACGAAAAGGAAAAAGTTTGTGTGAACATTCTAAAGTTCACACAAAATGTAATAAAGAAGAAAAATACTTCTGAAATTCATACACCTCCCGGACACCTCCATTCCCCACACTCCTACCACCAGCACACTCACTCCTGACCTGGAGTGAGGTCCCACCAAGCGCTCTCTGAAGAGCCCGCACTACGGCCGCAGCCTGGTCTCCGCTCCTGGGGTAGTGCTTCTGCACGCGGTCCTGGAGCTCCGGGGGCAGGATGGTTAGGAACTGCTCCAACACCAGCAGCTCCAGGATCTGCTCCTTCGAGTGCATCTCAGGCCTCAGCCACCGACGACAAAGTTCCCTGAGCCGGCTCAGCGCCTCTTCGGGCCCAGCCACCTCCTGATAACGGAACCGCCTAAAATACTGTCGACAAGTTTCAGGATCCAGACAGTCCACAGGCAGGTCGGACTCCCGAACTCCGGGTGAGTCGTCTTCCACTTTCACTACCAAGAGTCCATCATGTAGGGGCGGCGTGGCGACCCTGGCCCCTGCAGCCACCATCCAGGCCCCCGCCTCGGCGTCACAGCCTTGACTTACGATCAAGCTCGAACTCATCTTTCTCCAATACGTGCCGACTTTCCCAGAGTTTTGCCTTCAGGTGAGAAGAGAGGAAACCGTGCAAAAAGCCGCGGAACTCATCGTCCCTCTTTAAGCAGAGGCGCACCCCACCTGTCCCCCTGCAGGAGTCCTGCCCGCAGCTATTCCACCTAGGACCGGCCTCGTCCGGTGACAAAACATCCACAGAAACTCGTAATCCAGGCCGGAAGTGCGTCACTGACTCCCTGCGAAACACCCTCCCGGCTATTTCCGGGACCTCTCTAGGCGCCGTGGAGGACTGAGATGAATCTTGGTGGTTTGTTGTCCCTCCCTTCCAGGGATACTCTTGTGTACACCTTGTTTTGTGGATATTGTGGATATTATAATCTTTCAGGTTACAGAATTAATCGATACTCTTCTTTTAAAACGTGAATGTCATTCTTTAACACAGTCTATGAATAAAGTTTGTCAGTTTTGTTTTAGTAAAAAATCCAACTGTATGAGTCGTAAACACTCATCCATGTGGTATTCATTTATACAAAAAAGGTTTGTAGAGTATCTTCCACATGCCACAGCATCGTGCTTGACACCATAGATACAAAACTGATGATGACATAGTCCTTGTACTCAAGTTGCTCACACTCTCCTGGGACAGACTTTTAAATCCTTACAAGAGAGTGTGGTAAATGCAATACTTTGGAGTGTATACAGTGTACATTTATAGACCCAGAGGTGGACATACACCATCCCTGGTAGGGGAGAGTACAGTGAAAGACATCACAGGGAAGATTAAAGCTTAAAGAGTCCATGTGGACTGAAAACATATTTCAATTCAAACATGGTTTACATTTTTTAAAAAAATGTATCTTTATTGATTTCAGAGAGAGGAAGGTAGAGAGGGAGAGAGAGAGTTGAAACATCAATGATGAGAGTCATCACTGATAGCCTGCCTCCTGCACACCCCCAACTGGGGATTGGGCCCATAGCCTGGGCATGTGCCCTGACCGGGAATCCAATCACAATCTCCTGGGTCCTAGGTCAATGCTCAACTGCTGAGCCATGCCCGGTCAGGCTCTCCCCCTTTTTAAAAACGACCAAGTTGAGAACACTCAGGTAGACACCCACAATGCAACCCTGAACAAATGTGCACTTTCTTTCTCCAGTCCTCCTTGGCAACGGGAAGGCCCCCTATTCAGTAGCAGGAGGACACAATCATGGGTCAAGACATTCTGCTTCATGGGGAAACCTTGTTTGTCGTTTCCACCACTGATTCAAACCACGTAACCCTTCCATTCTTCACCCAGAGTGTCAGCAGCAACTTCTGTGGCCATATGCTTCTCATAAAAGGTAGAAGTTTGTGTTCATCATCCACTTCAATGAATTTCTGGCAGCCAGTGTCTGAGAAAGAAATGTTCAGCTTCATCCCAGAGCAGCTACTGCTTCCAAGGCACCACAAAAAAGAGCTCCCTTTCCTTCACTTTTAAGTATCAGCATGGACTCTGTGATCCCACCCTCTGCCTCCTTTCTATGCTTCAGTGTGTTTCTATTACATTTGTTTTTTAGCCTAAGGTTGAATATACAAATAAATCACTCTCTGAAGAACTTGGAGGTATATACATATGAACAACCTCTTCTTTATCCAATCATCTATTGATGAGTACTTGGTTGCTTCCATATCTTGGCTATTGTAAATAATGCTGCAATGAACATAAAGAGGTATATATGTTTCAAATTAGTGTTCTGGATTTCTTTGGATATATACCCAGAAATGGAACTGCTGGGTCATAAGGTAGTTCTATTTTTAACTTTTCGAGGAACCCCCATATTGTTTTACATAGTGGCTGCACCAAATATGGAATCCCACCAACAGTGTAGGAGGGTTCCCTTTTCTACACATCCTCACCAAGACTTGTTTGTTGATTTATTGATGATAGGCATTCTGATAGGTGTGAGGTGATACTCACTGGAGTTTTAATTTGCATTTCTCTGATAATTACTGATGTTGAGCATCTTTTCATGTCTATTGGCCATCTGTATGGCCTCTTTGGAGAAATGTTTATTCAGGTACTCTGCTTATTTTTAAATTTTTATTTTTTAAAAAATATGTTTTTATTGATTTCAGAGAGAGGAAGGGAGAGGGGAGAAAGAGAGAAACATCAATGATGAAAGAGAATCACTGATCGGCTGCTTCCTGCGTGCCCCCAAATGGCGATAAAGTCTGCAACCCAGGCATATGCCCTGACCTGGTTCATGGGTCGACGCTTAAACAATGAGCCATGCCAGCTGAGCCATAGTTTTGTTTTTATATATTTATTTTAAAAATTATCTTTATTGTTGAAAGTATTACAGATGTCCCCTTTTTCCCCCCATTGATCTCCTCCACCCCCCATGCACCCCACTCCCAGGCCTTCCCCATAACGATGTCTGTGTCCATGGGTTATGCTTATAGACATATAAGTTCTTTGATTAATCTCTCTCCTCACACTCCCCCTCCCCACCTTCCTTCTGATATCCCTAAGTCTGTTCCATGCTTCTATGTCTCTGGATCTATTTTGCTCATCAATTTACTTTGTTTATTACATTCCACATATGAGTGAGATCATGTGGTACTTGTCTTTCTCTGACTGGCTTATTTCTCTAAGCATAATACTCTCCAGTTCCCTCCATGCTGTCCCAAAGGATAAGTGATCCTTCTTTTTTTACAGCTGCATAGTATTCCATGGTGTAAATGTACCACAGCTTTTTTATCCACTCATCTACTGATGTGCCCTTGAGAAGAATGTATATTCTGCAGCTTTGGGGTGGAATGTTTTGTTAATGGCAATTAAATCCATCTGATCTAGTGTGTCATTTAGGGTCACTGTTTCCTTGATTTTTTTGTCTGGAAGACCTATCCAGTGAAATCAGTAGGGTGTTAAAATACACTGGTATGACTGTCTTGCTGTCAATCTCTCCCATAAAGTCCTCTAAAAGTTTTTTTATAAATTTAGGTGCTCCTATATTATTGGGTGCATATATATTTATCAGGGTTATATACTGTTGTTGGATTATATCCCCCTTAGTATTATGTAGTGACCTCTCTTGTCTCTTGTTATGATCTTCATTTTGAAGTCTATTTTATCCAGTATGAGTATTGCTACCCCAGCTTTTTTTCCCCATCTCCATTTGCATGGAAACTTTTTTCCCATCCCTTTACTCTCATCTTGTGTGAGTCTTTTGTTTTGACATGGGTCTCTTGTAGACAGCATATATTTCGGTCATGTTTCTTATCCATTCAGCCACCCTATGTCTTTTTATTGGAGCACTTACTCCATTTATATTTAAGGTTATTATTGATAGATACTTATCTATTGCCATTTTAATTCTTTATGCCTATGTTTCTCTTTCTTTCTATTTCTTCTTCTAATTACAGCAGTCCCTTTAACATTTCCTGCAATGCTAGTTTGATGGTGATAAACTCCTTTAGCCTTGTTTTGTCTGAGAAGTTCTTTATTTCACCACCTATTATGAATGATAGCCTTGCTGGATAGAGTAGTCTTGGTTTCAGATCCTTGTTTGGTATTACCTTGAATACTTCATGCCATTCCCTTCTGGCCAGTGGAGTCTCTGATGAGAAGTCAGCTGACTGCCTTATGGGAGCTCCTTTGTAGCTAACAGATTGCTTTTCTCTAGCTTCCTTTAAGATTCTCTCTTTGTCTTAAATTTTTGGCATTTTAATTATGACATGTCTGGGCATGGCCTCTTTGGATTCTTCTTGCTTGGGACTCTCTGTGCCTCCTGAACTTGTGTGACTTTTTCCTTTACTAGGTTAGGGAAGTTTTCTTCCATTATTTCTTTGAACAGGTTTTCTAACCCTTGCTTACTTTTGACCTCTTCTGGCAGTGCTATAATGTGAATATTGTTACATTTCATGTTGTGCCACAGCTTCCTTAAACTGTCCTCCTGTTTTTTAATTGTTTTTTTTTTCTTTTTGGATCTCTGATTTTTTTGTACCCTGTCTTCTAGTGCACTGATCATTCTCAGCTTCTCTTAATCTGCTGTTTATTCTTTCCAATGTATTATTTATTTCTGCTATATCATTCTTAATTTCCTTCATAGTTTCCACATCATTTTGCATGCTGTTGAGCATCCTTACAATCAATATTCTGAACTCTATATTTGATAGATTGCTTATCTCCATTTCATTTAGCTCTTTTTCTGGAGACTTCTCTTGTTCTTTCTTTTGGGGCTTGTTTTTTGTTTGTTTGTTTTGTCTTTCCATTTTGGCTGCCTATTTGGGTTTGTTTCTATGTATTAGGTAGGTCTGCTAGGACTCTCAGTCATTTTGGTGGGTCTCTGGTGCAGTCTAATATCAGACACAGTTTGTGATTGGCCCTGAGTACTGTTTGGAGCTATCAACAACCCACAGCTTGAGATCTCCAGGTCTCCTCTCCTAGGGCTGAGTATATTTGGACAGGACCAAGATGCACACCAAAGTCTGCTTTACCAAGGCCTGGGTCCAGAAGCAGACCAGGCAAAGACTCAAAGCTCTCTGAGGTCTCTCTCTACCTGCAGGCTGATTAATCTGATTCTCTTAATGAGCCTCAGGCTGTAGAAACTCCATGGGGTAGGGTGAGAGGTTTTCCAGCAGGGTGGGGCAATTACTGCCCCCGCCTCAAGGCAAAAGCAGTGAATTGTCTGCCTGAGAAAGATGTCCTCTGCAGCATGGGGGAATGACTCAGCACAGGAACCCAGACAGGTGCGTTCTGATCTCAATCTCCAGAGCCCACAAACCTAGGTTCTCCTCACATAGCTCTAGTCCACTCTGCCCTCCCTCTGCTGGAGCTCCAGGTGAGTGGCTACACACGAAACTTTGTGTGTTGGCTCTTTAAGAGGATGCCTACATTTCTAGCTGCCTCTTCCTGGCAGACAGAAACCCGGCTGCTTTTCACAGCCAGATGTTATGTGGGCACCTTTCTCAGTTCTGGTGCTCTTGGCTGGGAATTCCAGCCTGGGGTTTAGGTCCTGCAGTCCTCAGTGGGAATCCTCACAGCTGAGATATCCCTCAGGACTCTCAGCTGCTGCCTGTGGGAGCCCAGACACCCCTGTTGCACCTCTGCACTTCCTACCAATGTCTATGCAGTCTCCACTTTCCCCCTTGGTTATGAGGGTGCTCTCCAGCTCGTCTTCAGTTGATTATTCATGATGGCTTT